TTCAAGCACAAATGAATGCAAATGAAATCACAGCATTCTTCTTGACAAGCTTTTCCAAAAAGATATTTCACCTGATATTTGGGAAACTATATATGAAATGTATAACGACCTAACATGAAGTGTTATTTGGAAAGGTCAATACAGCACTAGCTTTCTGGTACAACAGATTAAATATACCCTGAAGACTTGTTGAGGCAGTTGGAAGACTCAAATATTGGTTTGAATTTAGGCACTAATCATTCAGGATACCCTACATGTGCAGATGACATTTTACTCTTATCTAACTCGGATGAATAAATGCAAGTCATGCCCAACGTAGTAGATTTCTACTCAAAAGAGCACCAATATAAAAGTCACCCAGAAAAGAGCGTTCTTATCAATCAAAATGAACATTTTTCAAACTGCACAAAAAATGTATGTGCTATTGGTTTCTTGGGGATAGGCTCATAGCTGAGACAGACAAGACTTCACATCTCGAGATTTTAAGATCATCAAGAAATGAAAAAACTGATAAATATGGAAGACCGCATAATTCTTGCCCGAAGAATTTCCATTCATTGATGTCAGCAGGAGTACATGGAGCCAGTGGATTAAATGCAATAATCTCACACACAACATTTATAAAAGCTACATATTACCCCGCTTGCTCTACAGCATTGGAGTTTTACCTCTTACTGCTGGCCAAATGAATGCCTTGGGTGACTTCCAAATCCCTTTTTGAAAAATATCCAACAAGAACAGCATCTGAGTAGCAGTATACTCACTACAATGATAATTGGTATCCTCCATATAGAAGAAGAGCTACACAAAGACAATTTGAAAAGCCTTCTGCACTCAATTCGTACTTCTGAAAATCGAAACTTAAAGGATATTTTGATACGTTAGTATCGAATAGAAATATGCAATGGAACTTTTCTCCATAGAACTGGAAATATCCTATTTCAATATAGCCTACCGAACTTGGAAGAGCTTCTAGCTAGTCTCCCAACAAAAGTAAAATGAAAAAATAAATTGTCAGTTCTGCTATAAACAAATTTTGGAACAATACATTTTGGTCACTTAGTATACAGAGAAGTCGACTCTAAATCGTATTTGTATTGACATTATCAGTAATGGGGAAAAACATGTAGTTTGGAAAACTGCCACAGAAATTTCAGGAGAAACAAAGAAAGCTATAACAAAAACTAGAATTCTAACTTTGACCTACCTCTGTGGTCATTTTTTTTATTCTTGTCTTTCATTTTTGCTTGTGTGCTTTGTCTATATGCCATTTTGTTTTTCTTTGTTGACATATTTGTTTGTTTTTATAGTGATCAAGATTATAACACAATGTTGACTGCTGTACCCCTATTTTTGACATTTTTACCTATTATGTCTGTTTGTTTTGTTCACACATTGTGGTCAATATAATGGAATTTTATGCAACTGTCATACAAGTATGAGGTTTAGCTAGCTATAAAACCAGGTTTAATCCACCATTTCCTACATAAGGAAATACCTGTACAAAGTCAGAATTATGACCAGTGTCGGATCCAGGGGGGTGGAGCCTCCCTTTTTTGACGATCAATGCATTTGAATGGGGACATATGGTTGGACCCCCCCCCCCTTTATCCTGGGTTGGAACCCCCTTTTTAAAAATGACTGGATCCGCCCCTGATGACAGTTGTTTTCCATTCGTTTGATGTGTTTGAGCTTTTGATTTTGCCATTTTGTAATGACGTGTAGAGAAATAGGTCTATAATTCTCTGGATTATATTTGAACCCTTTCTTGAAAATGGGGAAGACATGTGCGGTTCGCCAGTCAGTGGGGACTTCGCCAGTGTCTAATGATTTCTGGTATATATATATAAGGCATAGAATATGTGTTATTTCATGTGCTAACTACCTTAGGAGGCGTGGCTTAAGTTCTTCTGGTCCACTTGCCTTTGATGGGTTTAAATTTAGAAGTAGTTTGGAGATACCTTGGATGGTTATGTTTATGTTTTGAAAAGTAAGGTAAGCTGTTTTCTGTTGCATGTACTGGTTGTGTTCAAATTCAGTAGCAGTGATTATGTTTGGTTCTGAGGAAACTGATTGAAACTGTCTGTTGAGGGCATCGGATTTCTGTTTTGTGTCTGTTATAAGTTTCCCATTCTGCTTTAGTGATGTTATTCCACTGTAGTCAGTTTTTTTTTTGCTTTTAATATAAGACCAAAATTTTTCATTTTGGAAAAGTTGTTTTCATCAGGTTTTGGTGTAACAATATTTTCAAGGCACTGGCTACGGTTACATTGAAATGTAACAATAATAAAAAAAGTTATTGTTACATTGGAGACTAATTGCCGGAATGCAGGGTTGGGTAAGGAACCGATAATTATGAATGTAACAATAATATTCGTTTCTACGGTTGCGTTGTGTTATTGTTACGTTAGATTTATTAAACTTTAACCTTCTATAGTTTTGTTGCTTAATTCTTCGATATGTACTTGATAATAATAGTAATAATAATTTTATAATAATAATGATATCATTATTATTATTATTAGTAGTAGTAGTAGTATTATACAACAAATAGTGTTTAAATAGTTTTAAGTATTAATTGTTTTAATGTTCTTCAAGATACTACTACAATTTAGTAGTGCCAAAGACGAAAAATATAGTTCAATGGTTCGATGTTAAGAAGAAAAGAGTTTACTTCTATGTATTTAACTGCACACCAGGGACAGTCTATACTAGTATTGTGCCAGTGGCGGATCCAGGGGGGGGGGGGGGGTCCGGGGGTAGGAACCCCCCCTTTTTTTATGATCAATGCATTTGAATGGGGACATATAGTTGGAACCCCCCTTTATCCTGGGTTAGGGACCCCCCCCCCCCTTTTTTTATAAATGGCTGGATCCGCCCCTGCTGTGCACACAAACCCTTATTACTGTCATATACATATACTTTGAACAATGGATGCAGTGGAGTTGTAAAGTCTGCAAAACCAACATGCAAATTGCTGCATCACTCGTTTGTGATGACAGCCTAGAGTGGTTTCACAAAAAATGCGTCGGACTGAAGCATGCTTCCAAAACAACATACTGCATGTGTAAAAACTGCCATTGTTAATAAAAATTTTAAAAAATTGTATGCAATATTGCAAAATTCAAATACAAGTTTTCAAGTTTTATTTTAATACATATTACTAGTCCAAGCAGTTACTGATGTGCATTAACGTAACAATAACACAATGTAACCGTAGACACAAATATTATTGTTACATTCGTAATTCATCGGTTCCTTACCCAACCCTGCATTCCGGCAATTAGTCTTCAATGTAGCAATAACTTTTTTATTATTGTTACATTTCAATGTAACCGTAGCCAGTGCCTATTTTCAATGTACTGCCCGGCAGTACGATTGTCTGATTTGTCTTTGTAACTGATGTTTAATTTGCTTATATTTGTTTCTCATTTTGTCATTTCCAGATTTTTTCATCTTTTTATAAAGTCTGTCTCTCGTTTTCATTAATTTTCTTGTTTCAGCTGTAAACCACGTGCTGTAACTGTAAGAGATAAATTTGTCCTGGTAAAATATGTCCGGGCGGATACATATTACTAGTATAAAAGTCCATGGTTACAGAATTTACTAGTAATTTTAGTCCGATGTTAGTAATTTATGTCCCCAGACAAATTTTCCTAGGAATTCAAGTCCATGTCATTAATATCCCTAGGTAAAAACGTCCATGTCCTTTTTTTATAGGAAAAATATTAATGAATCAAATCATTTACATTTAAACAATGGAAATTTAAATGTTATGTTTTAATTGTTTAAGAGATGTGTATTTATATTTTTGATAAAATTTATGTCCCCAGACTAATTTTCCTAGGAAATCATGTCCATGTCATTAATATTCCTATGAAAAACGTCCATGCCCTTTATTTTAAAAGGTAAATATAAATGTTATGTTTTAATATTGTTTACTGGAGTTGTGTATCATTTTTTTTAATAAAATTTATGTTCCCAGACTAATTTTCCTAAGGAAATCTTGTCCAAGTCATGAATAAGCCGAGGTAAAAACGTCCATGTCCTTTATTTCAAAAGGAAAATTCTAATGAAACAAATTATTTATATGTAAACATTGGAAATTTAATTTTTATGTTTTAATATTGTTAAAGAGTTGTGCATTAATATCTTAATAAAATTCATGTCCCCAGACTAATTTTCCTACGAAATCATGTCCATGTCATTAACATGCCTAGGTTATAACGTCCATGTCCTTTATTTTAGTAGGGAACAAATTAAACTTTCCCATTTTAACTAAGAAAATATGTTTTTTTTTGTTTTGTTTTTTTTTTTCATTAATTTTTATAATATAATAAAAATTACTAGAAAAACAAGTCTTAAGACAATTTTTCCTAGGAAAATAAATGCCAGACATATTTTACTAGCTATGGCGGGACTTATTTTCCTAGGAAAATTTGTCCTGGGACATACATTCCTAGTAAAATAACGGTCATGGACTTGTTTAACTAGGAAAAAAAGTCTGGCGGACAAATTTTACTACCGGACCAAATTTACTGTTACACACTGACTATCATTTTAGATCTTACACAATTAGTTAGACTGATAGAGCTTTCAACCTACAACGAGGTGAACTTCTTTCAATATCGTCCTTGTATAATAAGCCCATCGTTTTAATAAGAAAGTGCGTTTTATATTGTATAAGTGATTTTAGCTATTTTCGCCCGTGTCAATAGTACATGTTTGTAATATTAAGCGGCTGGTATAAAATCAAGAATGTGATATGCTCCTAACCATAGGAGGAGGATACAGGAGGAAGACACATAAAGAAGAAGAAGATGCTCGGAATAAACTGTACCATGCTTTTTTGTTCCCTTGCCATATTATGGAACTCTTGTCGATATTCTTAGGAGTGTTTGCAAAAAATTTTGTTAACCATACGTGTCTTACTTTGAAGAATTTACCGTAATATCTATCTTGTCTGTGACCGAAAATCGATTTCAAATTATAATTTTCATCGCAAAAATGGCGCTTTTTGTTGAAGATGTTGATCGATGAAAATGTTTTTGAGATTTGTTTTATGTGACAGCCTATAAATTGGTAAAAATCGTATATTTTCTGATATTTAAAAAAATATTATATCTTCCTTTACTGTCAAATAGTAAACAGAGAAAGGGAAACACAAAAATAGTCCCAAGTTGAAGTAAGAAGTTGAAACAATCCGGTTTGTTTACATAAGTTCTATATTTACATGTAGAACCGAAAGCTCCTGATCATCAGTCAGGAAACTACATGAGGGAAACCATAAGTAGTGACAAGATTTCGTTTTACACATATGCCTTTAAGTTTGTGGGTAAATAAAAATTGCAAGTTTCTGATTTTTTACAATTAACAAATTAACTATTTTTCTTCACTGACTCAGTGACTGTGACAGATATAATAGTCCAAATAATTATGATGTCTTGAAAGTCTATTTTATTTATTGTTGTGCTTTTGTATATATTTTATGAATATCTGATATAAAAATTATAAAATTCAGGCCGTACTTATCAGTAGCATAGACATGATAGAGGAGTAAAAGTATCGGTTTCAAGACTTCATAATTATTTGGACTATGACATATCTAACCCTTTTTTATCATTTTTCTGATATCAGTGACTGACAAATCCGTGAGCACTTAATATATGTGTATATGCACAGACTGATATACCCTCTGTCATGAGCAGAAAGTTGTGTTTGTTTATTCCAAGTAAACAATGAAAGCTGAGGAAATATTATAAAAAATAATGAATAAGGAAAGTGAGAAATATAAATAATTATAATTGCCAAAACAAAATGACGAAATATTCTTATAAAAGGGCCATAGCCTAATGAAGAAAATTGAATTTTGGTGGTGCTCTACACAAGCCTTTGTCACTTCACTAGATATACATATAGAAATAAGAAGATGTAGTATGAGTGCCAATAAGACAACTATCCATCCAAGTCACAATGTGTAAAAAGTAAACAATTATAGGTCAAAGTACGGCCTTCAACAAGGAGCCTTGGCTAACACCAAACAGCAAGCTATAAAGGGCCCCAAAATGATTCATACAGGAAAACCATCGGTCTAATCTATCTAAAAAATGAGAAACGAGAAACACTTAAGAACCACATCAACAAACGACAACCACTGAAACAGGTTCCTGCCTATATATATATACATGTATATATATACACTGAAATTATAGAAGAATCAGCTATCAAGAGCAATGTTTTAGCAGTTTTATTTGTCTGCACTCGCCAATGTAGAACAAATTTAACAAGCCAAACAACCTGTATATAAACATTGCCTGTGAGCAAGACGATGCAAGAGGTCTACTTCCTTATATAACCAGTCAAAATTATACACTTGTATAGATTAAATGGACATGTACAATATATTCTTAGTCAACAGGATGTTAAATGTTATTTAAAATTAGTGCCCACACTACTAGGCAAGTCCTGTATAATAGCCTACCACTCTTTGAGGTCCACTAGCTTTACTTTGCTGTAAATAGTGAAGTTAATCTGCCTTTCAATTCACTGATGTCTAGCACCTTCTTATACTCACACACAGAGAGTAGTACCCTCTCCCTACAAAGTATAATAAAAAATCAGTTTGTAGTTTACTGACTGAATATTTTGTCTTTTACAATAAATATATATATATATTATTATATGACTTCAACAAGGTCATTATAAGAAATCGGTGATTTATACACATAAAATTGAGAATGGAAATGGGGAATGTGTCAAAGAGACAACCCGACCAAAGAGCAGAAAACAGCCGAGGCCACCAATGGGTCTTCAACACAGCGAGAAAATCCCACACCTGGAGGCGGGCTTCAGCTGGCCCCTAAACAAAAATGTGTTCTAGTTCAGTGAAAATGGACGTCACACTAAACTCCAAAACATATAAATGAACTAAAATTAAAAAACATACAAGACTAACAAAGGCCAGAGGCTCCTGACTTGGGACAGGCGCAAAAATGAGCAAAATCCATATCATATTGTCAGCTAGATGAAGTACAAGTATATATTGCAAGGTAAATATGTAAAACCTTAAAATATTTTGTAGTTGATGTTCATGAGAAGAAGTAAAAGAAATATGTCAGTTTCTCCACAGAGTAAAGGACTGGTTTCTACTCACTTAGGTAACTGTATTGGTCTCTACAACAGACATCACAGAGTTCATTCTGAATCATACTTTTGTGAGATGTAAACATTTTCAATAATTGTTGGCAGAGCCAAAAAAAAATCCTTTGAAATCTTTTTTTGAAACCATGAAAACAATGTGAAAAAATAGCTATTAATTATGCTAATTGTAAATGTAAAATTTGTAGCATAGTATGAAAAAGTACAAAAATTGTAGATTGAATTTCACAAACTACATGATATTTGGTCATATTAAAATGAATGATTCATTTAGGAAAAGAAACATTTTCTGTCTTTGCTAAAGAAAAATAATAAAGAGCAATTACTATATATCAGATAGTGATAAGGATGTTAACTTGTTTGTAGATAGTTTTCCTAATTTCCATTTGAGTTATTTCCTCTTGGCAATGACAGTGTGTTGGAGGGCAAAGTGAACAAATTTAATTTTCTTTTTAAACAATTTACATTTGTTTAAGCTTGGTATAATTCATCTCAGCTATATATTAAGGATCATTCACTTGTTTGTACCACATGTTTAAATTTGGTTAGTCAAATAAGAAAAATTGCCACTGGATGTTAAGCAAGTTACAATCAAATAAGAAAATCCACCAGTTTGTCCTTAACCTGAATAATTCAGTCGCTATATTTCCCTGCCTTATAATTGTTACATTAACACCTGAATGCATATACAATAAAAAAAATTGTCAATTAATCATTCAGAATAAGCTCAGGATTTATCTATCTTGATAAAAATAGAGCTGATTGCTGATTGGTCACCTCTCCCACAGGGCACCAATCAAAATCCAGGATTCGTGAAAAGTTTCTATTGTGTTAGGACTTCAGGCCCTCTTAATTAGGAGAGAGGGATTACAGAGAGGGACTGTATTAATCTTGTTAGTTTGCCCTCTTACATGACAATTATGGGAAATAACTCCAACTCAAATTTTGTCGGATTGAAAATTTTCTGGAAATACTGGAAATTTCTGTAATCAACTACCAACTAGAACTAAGTATCTTTTGTGTTATAAGTAATTTTCGACACTATCATATGATTGTTTTTAATATGCCTAAAAATGCAATATTTTCACTGGATGGTAGGCAAACAATGATCAACCAAACTTATACAAAATTGAACTTCATATTCAATAAGGATGATAATTAATGTGATTAAAAATGAAATGTTTACCTATTTCAGGAGGTTTTGATTGGGACCAGTATTTGAAAGACTGTGAGGCAGAAGCTGCACCTCAAAGCTGTTTTAAGCAGGTAATTTTGAGATGATACAAGATAAACTTAATACACAAACAAAAGTATTATAAAGGCAGGAGTAAGCACCTCCTTAACAGACCGTTAATTGCCATCCCAAAATATAAAATCTTTCAAACAGATCCAAAATAGTTTCATCCCTCTATTTCTATCATAGATGGAAATAAAATGAACCTTAATTTAGATTCTGAAACTGGTTTGATGCAGAAAGCAATTCTGTTTTCATGATGCCATTTCAAACAGAGAGTTTATCTTTGAAATTTTTTAACAGTGCTTTGTATATTAAAAAATGTGTTTAAATACAATTTAGCTGTGACAAATCTTTCCACTTAAATTGTGAATAAATTAACAGAAGTTTGAATTAATTTTTGAACGATATTATATTTCACAAGCATACAAATGTTTTAACTTAAAAAACCTGGAATCATATGATATTTCTTTGTATATTTAGTTGTATTTTGACAGGAAAATATTGACTCAGATGTCAGATGAAATTAAAATTCATTTTGAGACATTAGTGATGCCTAGAGCTACACCTGTTACTACAACTAAATATACAAAGAAATATATGATTCCAGGAAATCTAATATCATTCAAAAGTTGACTGTAATGGTAATATAAACCAATATATATTTAAAGTTTGTTGGAGGCCAGTGTAGTCCCTGAGTAACCAGGTACTAATCTAATATTCTTATGGTTTTGCTCATTGTTGAAGGCCATGCTGTGAGGAGTCAATGTTCACATCTTTGTTCTTTTGTCTTTATTGTATTACAAATGTATAAGCACTGGATTGATACATCTTCTGAGGACTTTACTGGACTTTTTAACCCTGGCTGAAAGTATCACAAGCTCAGTAGCTCAGTACTTGCTTCTGGTGTAAAATATTAACAGGTTTCCTTTCAGAATGTAGAACCATCTGACAATGAATTCAGAGTTAACATGAAGATAGAAGCTGTGGACCCTAGGAATCTGACATCAATATGTGTAGCCACTGTTGTTGGAATGATTGGGCCTCGGTTGCGACTTCGGTTGGATGGTAGTGACAATAAGAATGATTTCTGGAGGATGGTTGATTCATCAGATTTACATCCAATAGGATACTGTGAGAAACACGATGGTCTCCTACAACCACCATTAGGTTTGTAATTATACATAAGTTGTACAAATTATTAATATTAAGAATCAACCACAAGCTCTACAAAGCACTTGGAAATATGTTGTTGTTATGTAGAATTACATTAGATAACACTGATAGACCTATTTGGCAAATGACCGCGATTTTTGGATAATCTGCGCGGAACGGAAAATAATTAGAGGTTCATCGTAAATTTGCTGTGTCACAGAAAATTATGCATGTCATCCGGAGATTTACCGTGTCGGCGGGAATTTTCCGTTTGTCCGATAAAACTGGTGTGTATTGAGTCATTGATAGAACCAGTGATGCGTGAGCCACGGTTATTAATAGATCGTTGTATATAGATGTTTACATAATCCGTTATACAGTGTCAACGGGAATTAGCCGTTGGTCCGATAAAACTGGTGTGTATTGAGTCGTCAAAAGAACTACTGGTGCGTGAGCGACGGTTATTAATAGCTCGTTGTGATATATACAATGTTTACAGTCAGATAAAAAAAACTGTCTTATTACCCTTTTCAGTCGAGATAATAAAGTTACTTAATATTTAAATATCGAATTTGGTTATTGTTCAATAAAGAAAAATCTATTTTAATGTGACCGATGAACAGGATGAATACACGCGGTAACTTTGCTATACACAACTACAAATATTCTCACCTTATAAAATTCTTCTTTATTGTCATGTTTAGAAAAGAAATCAGTTCCTGTACTAATAGTCTTAGTACTGTAGATGCCGTAATCCGGCAAGATGTCACATACTGATTTGACACTTGTTTAATAGAAAAATATATGTATATGTCCGAGGCCAGAGATCATTTAAATTTCATTGGCAAATATGAATTTTTACTACGATCTGATTTACCTGTGTGATCCATTAATCTTTATTAATGAAATGCACATTTATACTCCTAGGGGTTGAAGGCATATATAAACAAAACAATATGATTCAATGAGATAATAACAAGTTGCGAATTGTAGTCCGAATGTGTATACTAGTATATAGGAACATTTGGACATTATTTCATATTCATAATTAATTAGTTCATCCGTCATTTGTTTTATTGAATTACTATTCAACTGTGGTTATACAAAAAGAACCGTTTATTGGAACTAAAATACAATGAACCATCTGTTTATTTGATACAGGTGTCAACATTGAATTGAAGCTTTACATTTCTGACGGACAGGGGAAAGTTTTAACCTTAGTTGATATCAGGGGTCAACTGGTATAGCAGTATGTTGGTAATACACCAACCGTCGTTTCATAATATGTATATGTATTAACGCACAATGCAGTCCTTTCAAACTCGATTTCGCTAACTCGTAGGTTGTCTTTTAGACAAAAAAGTTCCATTTAAAAGATATGAAAGTTGCGTACATGTATACGTCAATGCACGTCTTGTAAACTAATCTGTTACATTGTGAAAAATAAATAAGTTCTAATTAAAAGATTGGAGGGTTATTTTACATGAATAAAAGTTTTTCTGATCATTATTGTTTTTCAATTATTTTTGAGAGTGCGATCTTAAAACTAAGTTCGTCCTGACATGCATGGAATATTTGCCACTGGAAGTTAAGCAACCAACAATCACTCATCTTAAAATATGCCTGAGAGATAATATTCTTTTAAATTTTAATTGTTAGACAGTTTCTCCGTTTATTATAAAGCACTTTCAGGTGTAATGTTAAAGTGTATATTATATACATTCCGGGATGAGATTAATTTACTATAATTGCCAACAAAAAAAAAAGAAATGATGTTACGTTTCTTTTAATTAAAAATTAGACTGTAACGAATGTAGACCGAAAATTTTAAATAATGAAATAATGCACGCCAAAAATATCTGTAATCAAATTGATCTTAAACTTGACTTCGCTCACAAAAGAGAATGTTAAAAATAGCTCAGATCAATTGTGTCGACTGCACGAGATTTTCCAACGGCGGCAAATATCATGTAACTATAAACACAGGTGATGTTACTGACCGATTGTGGAATGTCAATTTAGGGTTAAATTTGATGTGTAATGATTGACATTATTGTGCGCGTTAAAGTTGAGGCTCTAGAAGGTTCATTTCAATTTATAACCGAAAATCTAAAATAAGTTTTTTTTTCAAATCAACGTTTAAGTTTTGAATCTTGTGGGAGGGAAACTTTATTTTGTTTGTTTTTTAGGAGCAAAGGGGGTTACCATAAAAGTCTATAGGAAAATTTAATTAAACAATTTCGAAGGTCACAACTTGTAAACTAATGAAAACAATAATAAAGCGAATTAAATAACTGTTATTAGATTGCAATAACATGACGGTTTTTTAGGCAGTTAAGCTGCCTTATGCGAGCACCCTAGATTTGTGTTCTACCCAATAAATGCTGAAATACGTGCCATTGTTATTATCTTGCTGGATATAATGTTATTTATAACTAATTGAATAGTTTTTTTCATACTTTTAATTCTGGATTACAAAAATATGACCAGAAAAAACCTTAAATGATCGTCGAACCACCCAAAAGTTTTGAAGTTGCACATAGGAAGTAGAGCACATTAGGAATCCTTATGTAGTTTATTATCCCCTGTGCTTTTGGCTAAGATGTCAAAGAACAATTGTATGAAATATTTAATCGCCGAAAATCTTTAAAGACAAGTAGTTTAGATTTCCCAAATGGCAAAAGTCGTAGGAATATTGTTTGTCGTCAATACGTGTTAAAACTACGTCAGTAGTCTATTAATAAGTTCCACTGTTCATGCTGTTGGCGGCAATTTCAAATTAGAAGACGAAATTTTCGTATCTTTTCAATTTGGAGGCAGGGATTCAAATTAGTGTGATTACCTTATATACTTGAGATGTTCCATTTTCGGCATTATTTGTTTTAGTTTAACTTGTTCTCGGTGGCGGATCCAGATTTTTTTATATAAGGGGAGGGGGCACTAACTGCTAATATCATTCTTAAGTGATTCCCTATATAATCAACATTTATTTTCCCACAAAAAGGGGGTGGGCACCGTGCCATTCCCCCTATATAGCCGACCGAGCAATGTATAGCCAGTCAAGGTCGTTAAAAACTCTCGGTTCTATTAATTTCATTATATCTTCATCAGCATAACTGTATCGGGAGCATTTGAGTAAGGTAGCACTCCATAGATAGGTGTGTAGTTTCGCATGTATGACACAAGCGCTGCAGTTGGCCTAATGTATTAGAAGGCCAGGATTGGAAGATTATTAAACATTCTGTGGCTCAATTTTAATTTTATTTTCTGACTGTGAAGTGCTACCTAAGCCGTGGCCTGCAGAACCCTACTCATATTTTTAAAGGGTGTTCCAAAAGCACATTAAACCACTTCCAGCATTATACAGGTCGTGAGGTACAATTTGTTGGGGAGGAGATTTCAATTGCTGTTCGTTGGGTTAATTTCCTATAACTACAAATTTTCGTTTTTTTTTCATCAGATTTGCCCGAATTGTCTATTCTGTTAACTCCATGTAGACCCTCACACGCAATGTTTTGTCTTTTTTTTTACCACGAATATTTATATTTGTCAACAAATTAGACAACTTATTTAGTTATTTTTTGTATGTCGAGGATAACTTCAATGTAATTAAAAATCGATCTCTCATCGCTCCCGTTTTCTGATATCTTGTCAAGTTGATTTCCAAATGTTTTTTTTTTCTTTTTCTTTTTGTAACTTCATTTGGGTGTAAAAGCGTTGGCCGAAGTACCTTTTGTATGAAGCGCGGAAGCGCTTCATTCTAAAAATGTGCGCACGGTCAATGCTTTTACACCCCTATGAAGTTACAAAAAGAAGCATCCAATACTTATAATTACATTGTTAATTAGCTAGGATCATGAAAACACGATTTTTATCATTTTTTTATTTAATTTGCCTGTGCACTTTACTGTTGGATCTAGTGTCATCATGAATGATAAATTTCATTGTGTAATGAAGTTGATTAAGGAATAACACGAGATTTCAGTTAGCCACTCAGAATAACGTATTATAATGAAACATACATCTAATGTAATTATATATTTGTACCACTTATTTTATATTCGATTATAAAAATAATCCCGAATACAAGTACTCCAAATCCCTGATAGCCCCCTGAAACACCATACCTATATCAATTTAATTAATTCTTAAGACAACCATTTAACTTCAAAGGGGTGGAAGACTGCTTTTTTCCCCTCATAAAATCATATTCTGATCCCCAATTTGATGAGAGAAAAAAATATTGTGGTCAGGCAGATGACAAAAAAATATTTCTGAATTCCAGATTTCCCCATACCGTTTATTTTGAGAAAAAAATTGCTTGGTAGCAGTGGGGAATAACGTTGTGTTCCAAATGATTTCTGACTCAGACCAAACCCCCTAACCCTTTGAATTTAAATGTTTCTCCTATACGCGTTACTATCATGAATTTTCTATGTTTCATGTATATTTCAGGTCAGGTCCCAGGACATACGCTGTGTTCAAAATTATAAAAACGTAGAAAATTTATGATTCGTGTACGTGTAATATGTCTCAAGAAAATGGATTGAATTAAGTACTATAATCATTTTTTTTATTTGTACAAAAATACACAAAGGCAATGAAAACCGTGTGTGCGCCAAGAACGGTCAATACGTATGACAACTCGGGGGCTGATTTAGGGGGGTTGGGTGGTGGCAGGCTGTCCAGGTCCCTCCTTATGAAACTACATATTTGGTTAATTCAGACTTTTATTTTCACCTACCCTAATAATTCAGTCGTTATATTCCGCCGATCTACGATTACTTCATTAACAAGTATATAGGAGAAATCGATTACGGGGAGAGACTGAATTTTTCGGGTTTAGTTCAACTCCGACCTTCTTTAGTTTGTACAATATAGCAAGTCTATTTAATCCATTTCTCCGCTGTTTTCGTTATATATAGCACTTTCGTCATACTTAGGCTAGGTCTCAAAGAGTGGGTCATAGATATAAACATATCTAGAAAAATGCTGTGAAGGTAATATCTTGGATG